AATACACTACGTTGCGAAACCGGGGCAGATAGCTAGTTAATAGTGCGTCATTTGAATACCCCAGTTTCTACTCTTGACATTGGCACAAAATCATTAGGTAAACTAGAAGGAAAATTGTGTTTTAAATTAACTAGGTATAAGGCGCAGTGCATTAGGTAAGGTCTAGATTTCATTAATATTAACAACTGATTAATTTTATTTTGGTTAAGAAAAACAGTTCATATTATAATTATTAGGTATATGATTGCATTTATTTTAAATCTAAAGAACACTTATATCGCATTGAAGGTAAAACAACAAATACAAATATTTTCCGTTTTGAAATCAAATATTTTCATCCTAACATTGGAGTTTTTAGCGAGGAGTCTCGTGACGACCTTGCATACCGAAATTATTTACATTATCAGTCGCAGTGACGAGGGCATATGAGGATTATAAGGAGAGGTTGAAAGCAAACAGTCGATGTGGTATTGTTAATAGCATAACTCGGTACAGAGAGGAATCAGTCGCCGTATCGGCGGGGGTGTTATCGGCCCGCTATAAGTAGGCCCCGGAGGTGGGTCAATGACGTTCGTTCACCCGCTGCAACCCGCACGTGTCGGCCTCGCATCCCTCCCCGCCCCTGCGCGCCCCGCGACCGCTACACACCCCGCCCCGCCCTCCACTAAAATTTATGCTGATTGTCAACCTTTCACAAATGTCTCAATTACTCCGTTATTCGCATGCTTATGTGCATCCGTCAAAACACAGCCTGTTTGTTTGTTTGTACTAAGATTTTCTGTTCTTTTGCTTGATTGCAATCGATAGTGACATAATTTCAAACTATTTGAACGTAATAAACTCAAATCAATACTTGAATGTCTTTGTTATCTACATATGTAGCTTTTTGTTGTATGTCTTTATTTCTTTGTGAGTAATTTGTATTACCTAGCAGAATTGCAATTTTATATATCCACATATTTGTACTCCATTCAATATTTCAGGAATTTCATGATCTTATTTAGATAGTTAAGGTAAGGTAAGGTAAGGTATTGGTATCAGTAACATTAACTAGGAACGTACGTACCATCAAATAAACCTCACTAAACCCAGGATTATACCTTATACACCAAGTTTGAAAATTGTAACTATTAAACAGATAATTCATTTTTATAATTTTTAAGTGGAACCTATTTGTAGTATTTCTTACTTTTCTGAAGCTAAAGGAATAGGTTTAAGGTATTTGCCATTTATATAACATATCCATAATGAGTACTTAAATCAACATTCAACAGGTTATTACGCACAGAGTAACTAACATCAAAACAAATGTTTCCGAGAGATGAGATGAACATAGGTACCAATTCGGTTAATTGAAACGTTGCATCGTTTGGTTTCGCATTGTTATTCGAACAGATTCGTTCAGTCATAGGTCAGGCACCCACTCCCCGCAACGCTTCCTATTGATTGGTCGATTGACGTAGGTATGCATATTTGACGCACTAACCTACCTCTATCTATAGTCTAGGTACGCCATACACAAGTTTCATTGCCATATTCCCGGAGATCGCTATATTTATCAGTCTGGTCTGACGGAGGGGGTGCGGGCTGCGGGGGGGGAGGTAGCGCGCAGGTAGGTACTAGGTGGGTCAATGACGTTCCTTCACCCGTTGCAGCCTGCGCACCCTGAAACTAGGGCGGCTACCTACCACCCTTGCTATGTACGCCCGATGCTCTTAGCCCCCCCTTTTATATAAGTTAACTGCACTTAGAATGTCGTTCTTCACACTTGGATAGATCAATCAATGCCGCCAGCTTTCTAAACGTGAAAATAGTTCTAGAACTTGTTGAACATTCACGTATTTTTAATTCATTTAAGGAATATTGGTCACATTACTGGCTTAAAAAGAAAATTAATAAGGACAATATAAGTCATATAGTCAGTCAGGATAATATAATACATGTACCTATAAATATGACTTAATATAGGGAGATTATGTTATGAGTCTAGTATGAATAGTATACCTATGAACCTCTGTCTACCCTTCAGTAAATAAAAGATGAGGTGTAATATTATGTTATATCAGAAAATTTTTTTGTTTATTTTTTGTAAGCGGGTAATTTAGATCTATGTTAATAAACATTTGCCAAAATTTATGAATAAGTAGTACATGATGTATGTAGGTACACTATATATATACATATATATACTTCGCGGACAGTGATAAAAGAATTAAAAGATGACGTCATATCGTAGCGACAGGGCATACCCGGCTCGCATCCCTTGAACTAATTTGATATAAAATCATTAAATTACAATTATCATTATCGTGCTATGAACTTCGTGGTTCTGTGTTCGGAAAACCGGTCTCACAATGGGTAATTATAACTATAGGTTACTAATTAAATCTTAATATTAACTTGACCTTCAACGATCAGCTTTTCAATGTAAATTCTACAGATTACGTTTGTAATTAAGTGTAATGTATTCAAGTTTGTTTGTACTTTTGTAAACATGTATAGACAATATTAGTTTGCAAGGTCGAACGCATGCATTTTATTTTTATATTTTCCCTTTATTACGCATTGCGTTTTATAACTGAAACGTTTAAAATTACGCAGGTCTTACAATTCATACAAAATACCTGCTTTGCAAGCAAGTCAGTAATAAGCAAGTTACTTAATTTTGCCATCGATTATGCAACAGTTTCACATCTAAGTAATTTTGCGAAACCTACAAATGCTTAGTTGCTACTTAAGTAGCAGACTGTATTTGCCTACACAAAGCCTATACACACGCGATCCACATGACATAACGCATAACGTACATTGGCAAGTGGAACAACAGGTAAACATCACCGGCGGGCGCCGCTAATCCAATGAGAGTGTACCAAGAATTAGAACATTACATAAGGACACGCTGACGATAGCGATAAACTTATTGCATCCAAGTACTAACTGCACTATAAGTACCAAACAGTACTGGAGCCTTCGCCCATGTACTCGTAAAAGTAGATAGAATGTCTAAGTCAGCCAGGCCAGTAGGAGCCAAGGCTAGGTTGAACCACCGTTTCACTGCAATTTAAACTTTATTTCTACGCGAGTAACGTAGAAAACGGCTTGGCGGTTATCGTCAATGACGTTCGTTGACTCGAGCGTTCGATGCCGGCGCAGTGCTGTTTTCCTTCTCCGTTTTCATGCATTGATATTAGAAACTATTGAAGTTGTTTCTGTTATAATGTTAGATCAACTCCCATCGATTTATTTATTATACATTTAATAATATCACTGTCACAAAAAGTGTTTTTGAGACAGAAATTTATTTTGCAGTAATGACCTTACAAATCTTGCGAAATTAAATGCGACTTTGCATTTAAATATAATATAACCTTGAATACACTATGCATATTTAGAAATGGGAACAACTCTCTTGGAAGCTATGCTGCAACTGCAATTAATGCAGGCTTCAATATTTAGTTAATTTGTGTAATCATTAATATTTATTTAGTTATTTATCTTATTAATTGAACGGAGAGTAAAACTGCCGTGTTGAATGGAAGGAAATACGGCATAGTGAAATAAAAACTTTTGAGTACCGAGGCAAAAACTTTAAGATCATAGCATTCAAGGCCTTCTTCTGGATGTAAGGCAATTCCGCGTCCGATCTATCATGTTGAAACACACGTAGTTATTTTAAACTGCAGAAGGTTTATTTCATTTGTCGTCTTGCAAGTACAGCACCAGTTACACAAGACCCATGCCGCCTGTCGCTCGCTAGACTCATGATTCTAGATGGAGGGAATCGTGCGCACGTCAGAGGTCTCGGTTAGCTAGTCGATGTGTACGTGAGGTGGCTCAGAGCTCGTGACCCAATTTCGCAGCTGCTGGTTTCAGCAGCGGCGAGGGGAGTCCGCGGTGGCCGTGCGGTGCGCGGGGGCAGCGGCAGCGGCGGGAGGCGGGCGCGTGTCAATGCCGTTCGTTGACTCGCAGCAGCGCAGCGGCATCGACGCGGCCTCCGCCTTACATAACCAACGACAATGAGCGCTCGGCGAATGCGTGTGATGTACCAGCCGGCCCCACTGTTGCTGCGATACACCGGTACCGGTGCCATCCGATGCGACTGTGTTCTAAACCCATACAACGTATAGGCCACTCTGAATCCTAAACACTCATAACTATGAATGCTCGTAGGCCTACAATCACAACCCAGAATAATCTAGAAGGAACACGAACGCGGTTTCTATTATTTTCTAGCACTTAAGGTTGTCAAGGTCAGTACACCTATTCAAATATAGGTAATACAGAATACTTGAGGTAATGAATGGCAAAACCATATTATGTATCATGTTATTCAAACCATGTCCCTAAAATATATCTTACTAATTTTAAAACTAATTTTAAAAATCAAGATTTTATAAAATAAATAATGAAATAATACTTATATAATAAAATGTATCTACCATCTAACCATCTATGAAACAATAAATATTAACTACAGTACTACAGTTACTATACGGCCAGTTCATAAATAAATAAAAAATAAGTTCAATGCTCTTTTAGGTTATAGGTACCTAATATTTAATATTTCCTGAGTAATCTAAGCAACAATTACCACAATTAATATACCCTTTAGTATTTAGTAATTAGTACTTTAATTCAGTAAGTCATTGAACTCGTTCAACTGCAAAATTAATTCATGAATAAAAATAATTTATTAATCCTGAAATGAAATCTGACGTTACAAAGGTCTCGATTGTCACTTCTGTGAATGTGGTAAGTCGTCTGTGGAAAGTTGTTAGTTGCTACATAGGGGCGCAACAGTGGGCGCGTAGGGCGGGCGGGCGGAGCCAGGCAAAGTCGGGCCGAAAGTGAAAGATGCGCGGGGTTGTGGGGCGCGCGCGGGGCGGGGCGCGTAGCACCGCGGGCAGAGCCGCGCGCTGGCACTAGCGGCCCGAGTGCACCGAGTCGCAGCCTCACGCAAACAAAACTTTAGTTACTAACCTACTTCCGTGCGGGCGCCAACCGCGAGCGCGACTCCCGCTCCGTTGCACGCTCGCCCTGTGCGCGCACCGCTGGCGGACGTACCTTACCTATGACACGTTATAGTGATGAACTATTCTATGAAATTAAATAGGACTTTAAACCGGCTTGGCTGTTTACTTTGAATGGACACAAACTCGTTAAAGCTGACCGGACAACAACGGCAATTGAACAAAATGTTTTATGGTGAGATGACGTTGTGTACGTCTTGTACAGCTTTTATGTTATTTTATTTTTCACGTTGGCATGCACTTCGCAGTCTCGTCGTTTCATTCATATCTTATTTATTAAGTAGACGAACACGCACACACTGCACGTCAAACACGTGTATTTCTAAGAAAACGATGACTAGTAATGTTAATTTTATCAAGACCAAAATTCTTCTACATATTATTTACTTCTCTGTCGCTATCAAATTCTAGATAACTGTCGGTGTACTCATAATTTTATTGCATTCAATTACTTTATCTAGAGGTATAACTTCAATCTAAACAATCTCCACTGTCTGTATAGTATCTTATCCATCGCTATGCAGAAAAACTTTTCAGTAGGTCATTATTTCGTCCAATGGTATGCCACCAATTTACTGAAATCAAAATTAAAAAACTATTATGCTGGATATTGTTATATTTGACATTTGTTTTTTAAATCAGCTTTGTGTTACTTTGCAACATATTTTAAATCACGTTTATTTTTATGTTTAGCTTGAATGTCAATGTTGTACGTTTTTCTAGTTCTTTTATAGTAATTTTAAAGAATCTTTAGTAATTTAAGTACTTGTTTAAGTTGGCATTATAATATCTTTTGATTGGCGGCCATATTGGATTTGTCTATGTGCTACTATAGTCGCCATCTAGCGACTAATGATGTTATTGTTATTTATTAAAATAGAATTTCGTTTTATACTCATTATTACTGTTTGAATTACAAATTACGAATCAGTACATTTCTGTATTGATTTCTAATTTAAACAGTAGTAATATTTGTTTTCTTTCGAAAATAAATACGTATAATAATATGTAGGTTATCTGCAAATATCAACGTGTTTTGAAGTCCTTATCGGTTTTATTAATCTGCCCATATAATGATGAATAATATAATAAGTAACTGTCCATATTGTTACGAAGAAATAATTGAGACAATGGTTTAATCAATCTAGGGCACGAAATATATATATAAATCTTAAGTCTTCTACTTAATTATTATATACATCTATCTGACTAGACTGATAGATAGCCATATAGTACACTCGTTTCGTTTCTGGAAGATAAGTAATTAATTGTTTATTCTAACTTACAAATTAATTATGAATTCCTTTATTATCGGGTGCAAATTTTTAATTAAGAAAAACACTTCGAATGTCATTTAGGGTTGAACTCTGAGTAACGAAAATGAGTTTTAACAAACTGTTGTTTAATTTTCATACTTTAGGCATATGATCTCCTCATAGTGATCTCACGGTTATATTTTAACCACTGCGCGGATGTTACACTGATCATAGTTACTGCGCACCGATCTACGGAGGTGCAGTAGGTACTTACTACCAGTGTTTAGCAACTGTAGTTAAATTTAACTGAAGTCGCTACTTTCTTGCTTAGATCTGGTATGATTTGGGTAAGATTCAATAATCTCTCGCATTCCTATTCATAAAATAAAGGGCAATAAATTATAATCAGTTCTAGAAATTTCTATAACCTCTAGAGGTTAAAGTTATTTAGAAAGATTATATACTACATAACATAACATAACATCACGCCTTTTATCCTCGAAGGGGTAGGCAGAGGTGCACATTACGGCACTTAATGCCACTGTACAATGTAACACCCACTTTTCACTATTTATGTTATGAGTCCCATGTAATAGGGGATGAGCCTTTTACTACATATTTGAATTTTAAGTATTTTGGTTGTATCCTTTGCTACTAATCTTTTGTACCATGTACGCATATTGCTCTACAAAATTAAAAAAAACGCTTTATTTGACTCTATAACGACAGTTTTGCACAAATCGAAATTTTTGTGTCAAATTTTCGAACTGTGCGAGGGCCAACAGCTCGTCAGTCAACTTCTGAGTCTGCTGATATTTCGACAACATTGCAATCGTCATGGCCAAGGCCTACTGGAGACCATTGACCATATAAATTTCGAAATTCGGACCAGTTATTTTTATTGACACACCAAATTTTTTTTGGTTTATTTTTACCAATACTCAATTATGACAATCTATTACGCGGGTGTTATTTTTTATAGTAACAAAATTAACGTTTATATACTTAGGCAGTTATTCTTATGTCTCTAAACACAACTTTTTAACATTATAATTAATGCGTTAAATAGCTACAACGTGATTTAATAATTATGATAGTTAATTAGGAAAATAATGTTAAGCTATATTTAAGAGTAAACAACATTTTAGATACAGTGGATAATTTCAATTATTCATTAGTTTTATCGAAACGTAAAAATAACGTAAAAGCGTATTTTTAGTATTGCCATATTCTACCTAGTGTAATAATTACATCCATTACATAAACAAGTACTATAGCGCTGCAACACAGTTTCGAAATACCTTTAAACGGCTCGTCGTTTAAACAGTAAACACGAATTTATTCAACGAGCAATGACGCGTATTTAGTATTGGTCAATAAATATTTAGAGCGAGAATTATGTGAGTTCGTTGCGTGGTAGCGACTAATTCGTAGAGTGTTCACGAATACGCTTGTCGTACGCGAACACGTTGATGTGTGCGTTGATTGAAGTATTGCGTATGTGTTTGTGGATTTTTGAGTAAAACGCGCACACAGGACCATCGTGTGGGCTCTCGAACGAAACTGGGTCGGTTCAGTGACCCATATGTTTATCTAACGATTGTGCGTCGGGCGCGAAAGGCCCGTAGCGCCTCACGGTGTTATCTTTATCAATGCGTTCGCGTTTTCGTTTAGGTTATCTGTCGGGCAACCTGTCTCCTGCACTACACTGATTAGCATCATGTTTTACGATACAGTATATATACACCTACTTTAAGAATGCAATAAATTAGTAAACGTAAACGTGTTAATATAGCCGCGCCCCGCATCAATACCATTAATATTTAAATCATCCATGTCCTAAATACACTCCAATTTCCTAAGTAAATATTAAGTCAATATTTTGTCAGCGGCTCCCTGTTTCACTGTATTCCATGTGGCTCTTTATTCCAGCCATTTAAAAATACCACTTCTGATTCACACGTTTTCCTTGTTTAAAAATGGAATTCCTCATCTGAATCATATAACAATTTAATTGGTCATGAATACCGCTGTTGGTAATAATTATAATGAACTTTTTTACATAACCTAGACCCAGAATAATACGTGAAACAATACAAATATCAATGGAACTCTAACAAAATACCCTGATACCTATTCAAAATTCGAAATATTTTTACCTCTTAATTTATTTAATGTCGTCCACCCACGCGGAGAAATTCGCTACAAATAAAATTATACATGTTTTGTTTACGTACTTTCTCCAGCATAACAATAATTTCATTTAACGTTCTGTGTCTTAATCGCTAAATGACTTCGCTGATAATATCCTACAGACCAACGTGTGCAATACCAATGAAGAGTTGCGAGGTGCAACTTGGCATATACCTTCTAACTACCTAACAGTTGCACTTCTGCAAACCAAATGCAATCGACTATAAACCTTCTTCATATAATACTAAGAATGCTATTTGTGTTTTGTACTGAATACAAAGCTTTGTAAGGCACCTATTACCGCTTGCTCGCCAAGGACGGTGAAAGCGAAGAGAAAGGATGTGCAGTTGTGACGTCAACATAAAAGTTCTATATAACTTTTTCCAAAAAATCTTTCAAACTGTTTCACACTTTCGGGAAACCTCTGGAAAACATTTCCTTTGAAGATTTACCCCAATATTTTAAGCAAACACAAGACTTACTTCGTTTCAGTGACCTGAATTTTTAAAATTTATTCCGTCCACATTCAAATTCAGAGTTGAATATGTGAGTCTAAAGCCGTGTAGAGTCATTTAAAGATTTATAAAATAATAAATATAGGTATGACAGTAATGGTAAAATAATGTGGTCGCATATGTATCTAATGGCAGCCATGTGCCGGCCAATTGACGATCATTGCTATCAGGATCGTGATATTTACAAGTGTAAATTCTTAGCAATTAGTACTCAACCTAAGCCCGTTACCTTCAAACTCTTGAAACTACCATCGCCCTTCATTTTCGTTAGCGCCGTCCATACTTTACCTTTATGAAGGTGAACGCTGCTGTAGTACCAACTCAAATCATCATTCATATAGTTACGTCTCATTCTAGACCGTGATAACAGCTATTAGCGCGAGCGGGATGCTACAAATTGGTTGTTGTTATTATTAGTTAGTCTAACGCGCTTAGGCTTAAGGTCGCTTGGACAAAACGTAGATGCGTCAACGAACGCTGGCAAGGTGACGCATTGTCACTAGGAATGTATTAGTATTGTAATACTGGTGGAGTTACGTGCGTAATAGAGTTGCACATTGAAAAATTCATAGACGTAACATACATAAATGTAACGGCGCTTTGCAACATATACGCACAGAACGTTTCAAATAATCATTGTTGACGATTTATCGGTGTTTATGTGCGAATTTCGTACGTTATGTAACACAATGTCAAATGTAAACAACGTAGGTAATAAAATATTGGAAATTAAGTATATCCATCTTGGATAACGTTCAAATCTTAAGTAACTTTACTACTGAAAACATATTTTTAAAAAATCATCACAGATTTTTAAAACTAATTTCTATTTGTAAATAATTTTTCCGTCAACTTGAAAAATTATCAAATACCAAACATTGGATATTGTCATATTTAAAGTCCGTATATGGGGAATTAATTAACTTAAATTATTTATTAAACCTTTATTATAACTATGAAGGTCATATAAAACCTACGAGTAAACAATAAAAATATATCTATGTAAAAGGATCCAATATAATATCGATGAAAAGGTTTTTCTTAGAAACATGAATGAGTAAGACATCCGTTTGTACAACTACAAGCAACTATTAGTATGCAGCCACTCACTAATAAATAAATACTATGTAAATCATAAGAACTTTGTCATCTACTGAGATATATTCATTCAACGTTCTATCGTTATATCTTGTTAACGCTACGACTCGATA